CTCATTTCAAAATGACATATACATTACATCAGACCTTTGGGATGGGATGACACACTGCACGACACACTCTGACTCCAGTAATCCTATATCTCATTTCAAAATGACATATACATTACATCAGACCTTTGGGATGGGATGACACACTACACGACACACTCTGACTCCAGCAATCCTATATCTCATTTCAAAATGACATATATATTACATCAGACCTTTGGATGGGATGACACACTACACGACACACTCTGACTCCAGCAATCCTATATCTCATTTCAAAATGACATATACATTACATCAGACCTTTGGGATGGGATGACACACTTACACGACACACTCTGACTCCAGATGTATTTTGAAATGAGATATAGGATTGGCGTGTGATTTTATAGTCAGCTATAGGATAGCTAGAGTGTGTCATTTCATTCCACTCCCAAGGTCTGATGTAACATATGTATGTGATTTTCTAATTGGCTGCAGGACAGCCAGAGTGCATCTAGTTGTGTGTTGGTAGTTTAAAGGTGCTGGCAGTTGTTGAATACTATACTATAGGTCAAAGGGTAAGCCCTGTTTGATTTGTAGATTGTGTACTTAATGATCAGTATGAGAGTTATCTGTTTGGGATTTGAATCCTGGTAGATGATTCAGTATCAAGTTACCTTATAGCACTAGTATGAATTCTTAAGATACACAGTTTATAAAGTACTTAAATTTCACATAAAAAGTGGAACAGTTGCACTATATAAGAAGTGGAACAGCTGCACTATATAAGAAGTGGAACAGCTGCACTATATAAGAAGTGGAACAGCTGCACCATATAAGAAGTGGAACAGCTGCACTGTGAGGGGTGGGATTCTATTTTCATCAGTTCTAAATGTAATATTTCTCAATTTATTTTACAAATTATATTTTTGTTCTTAATTGAATAAAGCAATTTCATATACACATCACACTACAACGGTGATAATTTTTAAGCTAATTTTTTCAACTGAAATAGCAATTACAGCTTTTTTAATCCCAAAATCTACATTTTAAAACTTCCATACCATGACCTGGAGAAGCAGGAATAGGAATACACCTGTAGATGTTTATTAATACTTAAAGACATATTTAAAGTGATTTATGTAATGCCATAAATGTATTTTGAGATGCCTAAAGTATCATATAAAGAAATCATGTTTCTATAAAACTCACTCTTCAGCTGTATTTAGTTCAACATATTCTATTTCTTTTAAAACAAACAGCCTCTATTACAAATCAATCAAATTTTCTCAGCTGCTCATTTGGATGAAAGGAAAAATGGGTACTAATAATATTATTAACAGATTGTCTTAGTTTCCTTAAATTATGTAATATATGATGAAATACATGCCCAAACCTCAATTGTGAAACTTAAGTTAGTTTCTTATTTTCCTTACACTATTTTTTGATATTTTTAAATTACTGTTTGAACCTGATGCTGTCACGCATATCTGTGGGGTATCTACCAATAACTATATTATTCAATAGATAGTGTTTTGAACAAGATATCTAGATGGTAGCTATGCAAACATCTGTAAAATTGGTAATTTATCTTTCACAACTGCTGTAATGATTTGAATTTGTGACACTTCAAAATTTAACTTATTCTTAATTCTTTGGGTTTATGTATGTGTACACATGTGTGAACTAAATTACTACTTCTTAAAGTACACATCTAAGTTTGGCTGTTGTGCTAGTAATTATTAATTGTAGTATTCATACCTCATTGACAAAAATGTAGAACAATTAACATTTTCTAAAAAAAGGATTTTTCTGGGAAAAGTGTTCAAATTGTGCTGATATAAACTGTAATGTTTTTATATATTAAAAGTGGTACCATTTACTGAAAACTAAACAGTTTCTTTTTAAGAACTCCATTACTATATTTACAAATTACATCAATAAAGATATAATCAAACCCTCATGTACATTCCTAGTGAAGATTCTGTTCTTGTTGTAAGGAGAGTACTTTTATTTAACAATGAGATCTGTGCTAGAAATGGTTATTGCACATACCGTACTTATTTTTCTAATTTTCTGAATCTTAAATTTTCAATGGATTTTTGTTTATGGTGCCACATTGTATTTATTATTTTGGTCACGTACATAGATAGATACATATATACACACTATGTCCATTATAGTAAGATATGCGAGTCATTTTCAATTACCCTATAAGATTAACAGTCAAGGAACAATAGCTCAAAAGATCTACTGTGTCTTAGAAAACAAAACTTACCCATCTGTAAAAAATGCCAGACCACAAAATAGATTACTTGCTCCAACCTACAGTTTGATAATAAAACAAAACAAAACAGCATCATTAATATGACCAGATATTAAAAGAAAATTCCAGTTAAAGAATCGTATCAAACCTACTTTAATTCTTATTACCCTTGTCCAAAACTTAACAAGTGATACTGGTATATAAAGAAAGAAAATTAGCCATTGTTTCTGTAGCATTACGCTGTTACCTTTAGAGTTAAATAAATATATTTTAGTTCAGTCTTGGAGGCACACATTAGAATTTGATCACTCTTCTAAATGTCACAACCAACAATATTACAAACAAAAAATGCAAATTTATTCTTTTTACCAGATGCTTATTTTGTGTCATAAAGTATTACTTTTATAATCGCTTTCCTTTTCCTGAGATAATAGTAACTTTAGAAATCTCTAAAACCCATTTGTTAGAACTATGAAGAACACATTTACATGTGTGAAACATCATATATCAAAAAAATCTCTATACTTATACATCACGTTTGCTTATGTTTCACTCTTAGTTATTTATACTCTTATTAAAGATTATTTTTGTATAGATAAGGGAATACGGATTATAAAATCTCCAGTAGTATGTTTATATGAATCTATTAAATACATCTTTATTTTAACCCATGGACTGCTGATTCACCATATAGGGTACAGTCAACCTCCGGCAGTTGAATGTGAGTGTGCTGTATGCAGTATACGGTTTACAAAAATTCCAGGCATGTTCAAAGCAGCCTCAGTCAAAGGACATTCAGGTTCCTTATGCCTTTTTTTACTTAAGGTAACACTGATTTTGTCTACCAACATTGCCTTTGACAAATGTTTTTAAAACTTGAAGGTACACCCCTGGAGATGCATGGAAAAAATTCAAAATACCACATACACATCTTTACCTGCATCCATAAAGTACAGTAGATTAAAAATCTCACTGCTGGCACTTCCTGGCATGTCAAGGTTTCTACATGGTGTTGTGAGTCTGAATAATACCATTTTGTAGATTTCATATTATTGGAGGATGTCTTCTTCCATCTGTTGTTGTAAGTCAATTATTGGTCCAGCATTGTACTATGTTAGCACTTAGTAATAGTGGCAAATTGTACTTGTATATTGGCATACATACATGTGTGTGTGTGTGGTGGGGGGGGGGAGGATCCAGTATAACAGATAAAAAGGATGAAAGTGTTGTACAAAATGTATATTGACATACATACATGTGTGTGGGGGGGAGGATCAAGTACCACAGACAAAAAGGATGGAAGTGTTGTATAAAAATTATTATCATTCATTGTATTCGTCTGTAACATTAACCAAATACACCACAAAACACAAGATTACCCATTTTTCGTTTTTTTTTTCAGCAAAATAATTCCATATGCTCTTCATTAATGATGCACTGGTTGATTAGATGGAAATGAACAAAAGCAAAATAAAAATATTTATAAATAGTTTATTTACTTGTAAATATAAATAGTCTGCACTTGGATCACTTAAATTATAGTCATGTAAATTTTATGTATAATTAGGGAACTTGTTATAACACAGTTTTTCCTGTAAAACTGTAAAGGAATATCTTCAAGAAGTTTAGCTTTATCTTACTCTGCTGATTTTACTGGAAAATGATCTTAAAGTTAAAGCATTTGCCATACTTTAAAGAATCTTACTTGTAGAACATGTGAAACCCTTTGAAAACCTTCTTGTACTGTATAAATTGAGAAATTGATTTCTCAATATAAAGATAACAATGAAACATACATAAAGATTGTGCTCAGCATTAACATATTCTGCAGCCAATCACACAAATCAATGTTTATTGCAAAATTTGCAATCTATTCATAGATGTAGCCTGAGATAAATCTGTCTACACATTACCTGTGTTTTCTTTCCTCAAGTACATATTCTTATTAATAATTTTCTTTATAACTGCAGTTTTACTTGTCTGCAGGTAAAAGTAAAATCTAACAAAATAAGGTACAAAAGGACAGGAAAAAGAATGACATTAATACATTATTTCTTAATAGGATTTCAGGAAAATGATTAAGTGTAAGTTTGAAAGCTTCATAACATGTCAAACTTCATTATTCTTTCAGTCACACAAAAGATGCTTATCTAACACAATTCTACATTAAAGCATAATATTGGGTCATGAATGATGAGTTAAGAACCATGCCATGCTTGTTCTGATCTAATATAGGATAAAACTTTTTCAGGCATTCATATGAAAATTTTAAAAACTTATAAATATTTCTTAACAGATTGAAAGTTTTCTTTTTTTTTCAACATTTAATCCTTCAATTTTTATAGAAATAAAATTTCACAACTATCCAATACTGTCTTAGCATTTCTAGATTGAGCTTCTGATACTCAGGTATTTTTTACTCATCCAAGATGAACCACATCCAATATTGTTTTGGCATTTCTAGATTAAGCATCTGATACTCAGGCATCTTTCCTCATCCTAGATGAACCACATCCAATATTGTTTTGGCATTTCTAGATTGAGCATCTGAGACTCAGGCATTTTTACTCATCCTAGATGAACCACATCCAATATTTTTTTGGCATTTCTAGATTGAACATCTGAGACTCAGGCATTTTTACTCATCCTATGTGAACTCTTGTACAAAAACCAGATAATATGTAACTGTAAATTACAGATTTAATGCAATATAAAGTAAGAGATACAGAAGATGCATTTATAAAGTTGGGCTCAGAAGTTTTCTAGTAATCATTTGTTTGTATCTTGTTATGAAATTACTTACATTTACAGAAGCTTTTTTCTTCAGAGCTGCTTGAACTTTTACATCATTTGACTCAAGCCCAATCAGTTGGTGTCCAGACTTTATACCCACTGCCATTATAGAGGAACACAACTGACTCTCAATATCACGATCACTGAAACAAACCATTACATTAACCATCACTGATAAAACATACCCAGCTAAACTTTCAAATATTTAGAAAAAGTAATTAATTAATTATGAATATCAGTGTGACCTCAACCAGTTATGTGATCGAGATAATCATTTAGATTTCTAGTAACTACTACAGTCCTAGAATTAATCAGGATCCTAAAAAACAGCTTTCTACAATACTTTCATGTTTGAAGGGTGTCGTCACAATGATGTTCTAAAGTGCCCATAAAATAAGTTTTGAAAAGACTTGCAAATCTTTCATGATGCCCATTGTTTAGGGCCCACTACTGGTATTTTCATTGTTGTCAAGAAATAAATACTTTTGAATTTGGATTCTGTTATTATTTGTCATGTCATTGGCCATGCGATCAGTTGTTGTTTCTATACACAGACAAGCTGACAGATAACTTCATGTGATACTGTTGGCTACTATGACACCAATACTTTAATACTATGTACTGTTGTATAGAGACATCAAATATTGATCCGAGGTCATCATAGGTTAGTAGCATGCTGTTAAGATGTCTCAGTTTAGCCAGTGAAACTTTGTTTTGTTGATAGAAAAACAATAATATTCAGTCGATACAAATTAACTTTTATTGTACAATTTTGTAAACAAACAATCAAGATATACCATTAGACCATTAACAGCCCTGTGGACTGTTTGATGGGAGCTGTTTACAGCCCTTGTGCATCTTTCAAACATGAAGAAGTGCTTCCTAGAAAGTTATCTGATAAAAAAAATGCCTTTATTTTGGTTGCCATATATCAGCTACAATAAAATTAAGTCATTTCATACTCCACAAGAACCATACATTATTTTTCAAAAGTTCAGTTATAGAAGTTGTAGAAGAGCATACAGTTTACTAGTATGTATTATTGTAATATAAATGAGATCAAATATCTTGAGAAGTTCATATGAGATTTGGGTGCTTTCAATATTTGGTTCTCCCATTTTCTTCATCAGAAGCAAATGAATGGACAAAAGCAAATGCACCATAAAATTTGTATTGTTACATCTCCGTTCGTTAGTTAATTTTCCATAAATTCGTTCCGACGAAACTTCAGCGACACAAGTCCTCTCTTAAATAAAACTGGTTTATTCTTTCCAAATACAACTTTACGATACACTTAATTTCAACAGTCACTCTGTAACAAACGCTATAATTCTCAACGAACTTCT